TTCCCTAAATTTGTCTGTGAGGTCACGGTTTAATTGAGAGGCCATAAATTTCCATGAGCCAGGGGAAGAAATCATAGACAGATTTTTAAAATACTTTCTCCATATTGATTACTAGCTGTGTCTAGAACTGTTCCCAAGCCACACTCAGCAATAGCATTTGGAATGCTGCATTCCAACAGCAGAGTTAAACAAAATCTCACAAAGGAGCAAATTGTTTACAAAAATAATAACTGCATCATTTTTAATTACCTTTTCTATTTAGACTACTGAAATTAATATCAAATAATAGTGTTACTCATCAGCTGGCAAGTTCCTACACATCAAAACTACAGCATTTTAAAATCCAGGCTTCAGTTCTTTTCAAGCTCAGCAAAAGGACAAGCCTCATCACCCAGCTACAGTAGACCCCTTCTCCATCCAGCACATCCTCCAAGTTCTAGAAAACCACAGCTAATTTCTTTGCATTTCCTAACATACATTAAAAGCTGTTCTGTTGCAAAACTTCTTCAGAAAGGAAGTAGAAACATGACTTTCTCTAATCATTCATTTCCAGAAAAGAGTGAGACAGTCACTCCTGCTGAAGCTGCGCCAGCCCCAGCTGTCCCAGAGCCGCCTGCTCCACCAGTAGAAAGCTCCCAAAAGACAGAAGGTAATAGAGAAGTAACACCATTATCAAGTCTGGTTCATTAACAGAAGGGAAGAACAGGGAATCCTTAGAGTCAGGGAGGTAGAGACAGTAGCTGAAAGGAGACCACTAGTGATGAATGAAAGACAATAAAGAATAAGGACTCTCAGAGACAGAAGAAAGTAATTTCAAAATATCTCAATATATTAACAAATTCATTATATAGGCTGTAACAGAAGCTGATGCAGAAAGTTCTAAGTAGTAATTCTGAGGTCTATTTCAGCTGCACCTTCCGGCACTCAACCAGAACAGCCTGTGGACCCTATTGGGCTCTTTCTGCTACGACCCCAGGACGGAGAAGTTACTGTTGGTGAGTAAAAAAACATGAGTCAAGTGATGTTTGTAAACTGTACCTGTTGCTTGACTATTTAGCCCTCCATGTATAGGAGACATCAGCGACACAACAGATAAATTAAACACTATTCATAATCTTATTTTATCCTACTTCCCTTACAAGGTGGAAACATCACATTCACTGCCAAAGTGGCAGGTGAGAGCCTGCTGAAGAAACCATCAGTGAAATGGTTCAAAGGAAAGTGGATGGACTTGGGAAGCAAAGTGGGGCAACACCTCCAGCTACATGACAGTTATGATCGAAATAACAAGGTATGATTGGCAGAGTAAGGTTCTCAGTCTTCTGGATACTAATCTGTAATCTGGGGAAAATATAAACTAATATAGGAATGTTTTGATATTAAGGTACCCGAAGGCACACACAATGTTATACTTAATGCACAGAAGTCTGTGTTTTGACCATGCAGACAAGAGACAAGCACTACATAGAGACTCTTGCGTACCTTATCTCTGATGAAGTGAGAAAATGTCTGGATGACCAGGGGAGCAGTTTTGCACTATCTACTGCAGGATTCCCTCCATCTTCCTCTCAAGTAACAGATACTTCTTATATTTATAAGACAAACAATAAATCAGACAGATATTTAAGTATGGTCTATCTTAGTTTTAATAGCTCAAGCATTCAGCTATTAGTGTTGGAATTTATTGTTCTTTTGCATCGTCTAGATTAAATAGCTGAGGATGATTTATTTCTACCACCAATGCATTGAAAGATACATAAACAGGAACACAAGGGAGCTTGCACTATGACTGCTCGTCCTGTGTGCTATATGAAACGCTATCACCCTCTCCTGGATGGAACAGAACAAACCTGCTCACATTAGCTACTCCTCCTGAACTTTCAAATGTACTGTCTGCATCCTAGGTAGAGGCTGTACTTGTTTAGTGAACACTCTATTCCCGTTTCCAATGTACACGCAATTAGTGTAATGTGATGACTGCACACACCAGCACACAGCATAGTTTGCTAATATAACATTATATCCTTTGGAAGGCCTGTACTGATATTACTCTTTAGCTGTTCCTACTGAATTGGGGAAGCTATATGTATGTTTTTTATGACAGCAATGATTTACACGCTCAGGAGGTTCTTAATTCTAAAAGGACACAGAGGTATATTTCATCCCTTGCATATTTCTCTCCATGCCTTAATATGCTGGATTCTCTCTCTGTTTTACCATTTCATTTTCTAACTTATGAATTGTATCATTGGTGTCTTTTCTAGGTGTATACCTTTGAAATGGAAATCATAGAAGCAAATATGACTTTTGCAGGAGGGTACAGATGTGAGGTGGCTACCAAGGACAAATTTGATAGTTCTAATTTCAACCTGACAGTCAATGGTAAGATGAATTCCTGCCATCATCTTTGTTACTGTTTACTTTTTTTTTCCCCCCTGTATGTCCTCCAACAATTCCTTCTGGTACATAATGGCAACTGGACAAGGACAGGTCCAGGCACAGCTACAGAGGCCCACAAGTGAGGATTGGGATGGGTTGGCAGAGATACGCAGCAATAGAAGTAGCACTTGGATTTCACTCAAATCAGAATTGTGGTGCTCTTAAAGAAAGCACACAGAAAGATGCAAATCAACTCAACTTTTCTCTGGCTTGATTCTGATTTCAGATCCATTCTTTCATGATATTTAATTCCACTAGAATAAAAGAGTGGCAAAGTTCAGGCAAAAGGCAAAAGCTCAGTACTAAAAATGGATACTTGAAAAGAAGGGGAGAAATGGAAAGATTTAGACAAGTGACACTATTATCAATTCCTTTCTTACCAATAAATTCAAGTCATGCAGAAGCAACTTGTGATATAAAATTGCTTTAAGATAACCACTTTCCATAATACATGGTGCCACCCTCACAACTGCTATACAAAAGGCTTATCAGCAACTGAAAAAGAAGTACATCTTAACATCAACTCTCCCTAGTGTGGAAGAGTCTAGATAAAACAGTATAAACACGGACCACCTGAAAGGGTTGAATGTTTGGACCATTTCCTCTTTCAGTGGTTCTATTGAAGGGAATGCATCGTTAATTTGTGTCCAGCAATCAATGAGCCTAATATGCAAAGACAAGTTTATTGAAGAAACCCAATTAGCAGTGTCCATTTTTGAAGTTTCACTAGTTTGCTCTAGGACTCGTAAGATTTAGGAGCTGTGTCTTTGTGAGACACACAAAGTGTGTGAGAGAAGTATTTCTCCCAATAGCAGCAGCACACCTATTCATACCAACAGAAGCTTAGAACAGAGTTCTCTCTATGCAACATCCTCAATGGAGTTTCTGTACATCTCTACGTAGTTCCAGGAATTTACCTTTGCTTTCAGAAGATGGATCACAGAATCCCAAAATGATATGGGGTTGGAAGGGACCTCTGATGATCATCTAGACCAACCCCCTCCCAAAGCAGATCCACCCAGAGCAGGTCCCACAGGAACGTGTCCAGGCAGGTTTGGAATATCTCCAGAGAAGGAGACTCTACCACCTCTCTGGGCAGCCTCTTCCAGGGCTCTGCCACCCTCACAGGAAAGAAGTTCCTCCTCATGTTTAGGTGGAACTTCCTATGGTCAAGTTTGTGCCCATTCCCTCTTGTCCTGTCCCTGGGCACCACTGAGAAAAGACTGGCCCCATCCTCCTGACATCCTCTCTTTATAGTATTTATAGGTGTTGATCAGATCCCCCCTCAGCCTTCTCTTCTCCAGACTCAAAAGACCCAGGTCAGCCCCCAACCTGTCCTGGTGCAGGGGGTTGTTCCTCCCCAGGTGCAGCACCCTACACTTGCCCTGGTTGAATTCCATCAGGTTCCTCTCTGCCCAACTCTCCAGCCTGTCCAGGTCTCACTGGATGGCAGCACAGCCTTCTGGGGTGTCAGCCCCCCCTCCCAGAGCTGTGTCACCAGCAAACTTGCTGAGGGTACTCTCTGTCCCTTCATCCAGGTCATTGATGAATATATTGAAGAGGACTGGACCATAAACCATTACAGCATGCCTATACCACATAAAAGAAGAAGGCTGTATAAAGTGGGGTGTGTATAAACCTTTTGGCCCCTTAAAGTGCAGAAATGGACTAAATTCTGCTTACTAATATTTTAAGACAATCATATAAAAATTTTTCTTACAGGGATGAATGATGAAAACAAGCAAATTCCCTGTAGCTTGAGTCCTTCGTTACCCACAACACTGCGGGAGTGCACACGTGTTGAAGGCATTAGCACGCTTTCACACCCCTTCTGTGATGGCACTCAAGACCTTCTTCAGGGCAACTTTTGATGTTACAGAACTAGGTCACAAACCCATGCAGCCCCAAACCTTTATACTGCCTTCCAAATTGTCACAGAATATATTGAAGAGGACTGGACCATAAACCATTACAGCATGCCTATACCACATAAAAGAAGAAGGCTGTATAAAGTGGGGTGTGTATAAACCTTTTGGCCCCTTAAAGTGCAGAAATGGACTAAATTCTGCTTACTAATATTTTAAGACAATCATATAAAAATTTTTCTTACAGGGATGAATGATGAAAACAAGCAAATTCCCTGTAGCTTGAGTCCTTCGTTACCCACAACGCTGCGGGAGTGCACCCGTGTTGAAGGCATTAGCACGCTTTCACACCCCTTCTGTGATGGCACTCAAGACCTTCTTCAGGGCAACTTTTGCTGTTACAGAACTAGGTCACAATATATTATGATACTGCCTTCCAAATTGTCACGTTAGAGATTAAAGGGGAATAAAGAGAGAGGAAAACTCCCAGTGTCTGTAGTGTTCACGGATTCCCGTGAGAGGAAGAACAAGCACCTCTTTCATTGGTTTCAATAGCTACGTATTAGCAGTTGGTCACAACACCCAGATTAGAAGATGGTAACTGTCAGGTTTCATTGCATTAGCCGGGCAGTCACACAAACTAAGGATGCTGTTCATATCTTTCAGCATCCTCACAGAAGTGTTCTCTTCACTCTGGAGATGTCGACTCCCCATTCTGAATGAGCTGCTGCTCTCCTAAATAAACACATTATATACACACCGGGCGACACAGAAAAAAAAATAAATATTACATAGATGGAGAAGAGACAAAAAGAATGTGTCAGAGATGACTTCAGCATGGATGTAGGAGTACAGCTGGCGGACAAAAGCCACACGTGAAGTAAGCAAAATGCTGAGGGTTTGGGCCCGGAGCCAGAAAAAGCCTTGGTGGATGTATCTTTTTTCAATAATGAACTCCCACCAGAGCCTACACTTTATGAGCCTGACACATCCAAATTACGCTCAGCAACATTTAAATGTTGAAATAATAGGATAAATTCAAACCAATTAGAGAGCATATGGAATATTGCCTTCCTAATGGTATGCAGAAGTGTCTCCTGTCAGTTTTATCAGATTAAAGACCCCAAGTGCTGGCAGGGATCAGATCCGCGGTGATAAACGGGCACAGGGGTATGAGCCGAGCTGCATGTGATCTTTGAGGTGGGTCTAACACAGGAGAAGGAATCTGCATTGCAGTTGGAGGCTTCTCCCTTTGTTTCAAGGAAGCAGGGAAATCAGACCGAATTCTCAGCCCAATCAAAGACCCGTGTTTTGCCAGGTCGATGCCTTGGAAGGAGTACATTTTCTGTTCTTTTGTCATCCGGGCATTGCTATCCCAAGATGAATGCCCCAAAGAACACCCCAATTAACCTTCAAGTGACAATGAAATGCTTCCCTTCCATTGTTCCCTTACAAAACAAAAATAGTAAGAAAAAATTTCAGCTTTAAGCAGAAGTAGAAACATTAAAACAGAAGGAAAAGAAGGTACAGCAAATTCTTCAAAATAACATAAAGAAGAAACAAAGCACCAGCAAAATTGTCTAACCACCATCTGAGGCAGACACCCAGAAAGAAGGTACAGCAAATTCTTCAAAATAACAAAGAAGAAACAAAGCACCAGCAAAATTATCTAACCACCATCTGAGGCAGACACCCAGCATGAAAATTTTTTGCCCAAATTGCTGAAGTTTGGCAAAATTACAAGCAACTTGAAAAAGGGATGTGTTGCCACTTTAGTGTTTGGTAATGATAGATTTTAAATAAATCGTCACAGCTGCAGAAGTCCTTTGTCCACTTTGGTTAGTTCTCCAGGGATTTATTACTATTTTTTTGTGCATGCTAAATCAATCCAAGGCTTTTAAGACCCTTCAACATGATGTGTGAGATGCGCAGTTTAGAGTTTCAGCCCCAAGGACCGCAGTGAAGTTAAATTAGAGTAGGTCAGTCTGTAGATAGAGTCATAGAATCATAGATTAGTTGGGGTTGGAAGCAACCTTTAGAGGTCACCTAGTTCAACCTCCCCTGCAATATGCAATAAGCAGGGACATCTTCAACTAGATCAGGTTGCTCAGAACCCCGTCCAACCTGATCTTGAATGTTTCCAGGGATGGGGCATCTACCACCTCTCTGGGCAACCTGTTTCAGTGTATCACCAACCTCATTGGGAAAAAATTTCTTCCTTATACCTAGTCTAGCTTAAAACCATTACCCCTTGTCCTATTGCAACAGGCCCTGCGCTAAAATGTTTGTCCCCACCTTTCCCGTTGGTTCCCTTTAAGCACTGAAAGAGCCTTCCTCTCCCCAGAGCCTTCTCCAGATTGAACCTCAACTCTCTCAGCTGCCCAGCTGAGGGTCTGGTGTGTGCCCCTGCTTTCACCAGTTGAAAACGCCCTGTCTACAGCTTTGATTTTGGGTGCAAGTGCTTCCAGGGGTTCTTTGAGTCTCTCCTGTTACCTGCCTGCAAAGGCCCACGGCAGCATAACCAAGGTGCTGCCCTAGGCATGGTGCCAGCCTCACCTCAGCCCCAAAGCCCATCTGGTGAGAAGGTGCACCCCGGAAAAAAAAGGCCCTTGGCTCTCTGGAAACCCTTAGCTGCTGAAGTAACCCCTCAAGCACCAGTGAAATATTCTGGCCCATACTGGTCACGGCCTGGAGAAGCTGCATGTATAGCCCTCAGCAGCACAGACTAGAAACACTTGTGCCAAGTCAAGCCTGTAGACCTACCAAAAAACCATGCATCCTTTCCCCTACAGTGGCATTAGCAGAAGAGCTTGAAATATTTAGGAACCTGGCACAGATATGACACAAGACTATTTAACCAGCCTACAAATCATTTAAAAGGCAGCCAGTAATAAAAATGCAATTCCCCCGCTAATCCTTAGTTCTCTCTTTCACAATATGCTTTCCACCTGTGTTCCTTCATCTCCAGCTCTCTCTTTACTTCGCAGCACTTTGAGGAAGTACCTTATCCAAAGTACAATTCAGCTCCAGGGACTTAAGTAAACGCAGGCTGGAGACTCTTGGAATTTAGTTGGGTTTTTTTTTCACTAGTCACACAACACTTGGTGTTTTCTTTTTGCTCCTAGAGGCACCTGGTTAAACGATGCATCAGTTTTAATTTAAACATATTAACTTAACCAAGTTTTGAAAATCTCATGATTGGCAGAAGCCTGGCTTTTCAACATCCGTGATTACCATTGTTCTCCACTATTATCCCTGGGCAAAATGAAAATTTAAGGATACTCAATGAAACCTATTTTTCCTGCAGCCTATACGCTTGGGAAGCGTCACTCCACCTGGTTCACGTTCGGAGAAGTAACACGACAATGTGATGAAATACCTGCCCATTTTGATCCCCGACTGGCACAAAATCCATCTTCTATTTACATATTTCACCTGGCTTCCTCACCCAACCAAAGAACAAGTGTACAATGGGCCACGCAGCTTTCCCCTCGTAGTGTTTTGCCAATGCCTCACTCTTGCATGTGAGGCACGTTTGCTTCCACCGCTTCCAAAGCCACGCTCCCGCTTACGGCAATAGGCTCGAAGCACAAAGCTGAGACACAAAAGCTCTGCAGGACACCTAGAATACCACCGAGCTAATGCCACCATGCCTTCCCTTTAAATACTCTTCTTCCTAATATTAGAAGGCGATGATTAAACTCGCTGATGACTACTCACGACGCAATGTCACGCAAACAATAAAGTACTTTCTGTTCATAACTTTAACTTCAAGACCCAGCAAAAAGTTTGGTATTGGCTGAGGGGTCAGGAGCATCAACAACTAACAAGCAAAGCTTATTTCTCTTGATCAAATTTTAGTAGTGCTCTGATAAAAGGCTATGATGTTAGAGGTTTCACAGTGACCTGTCTCTTCCTTCCTCAGGTCTTTGTGTAGATTCAAGATTTAATTTCTTCTTTGGTTGGAGGAATGGGACAGGGATTTCCAACCTCAAAATATAGTTATCTGGTGATCGTAAGTTAAAACGAAAACAGCTTTTGCAGCAAACTGAGGAGTGGGGACAGATGAAAAATGTGCAGATTCACTTAAAAGAGCAAAATTAATAATTATCACACTATTTCCTTTAATCTCTCTATGTTGAAAAGCAAACAAAGCATGTTGTTTTCACACATCAGAATTTGTTTTTACTGCAGCTACCAACAACAGTTGTTGATGGAAAGGAGGGCAAAATAAGGTGACTTTAAAAGCATTCCTTCTTAAAGAACTATGTCAAAGTTACCAGGGCATAAAACTGGAATGATGGCCTGCCATAAACTCTACCTTCAGACTTTTGATAGTAAAATTTGATGAGAGTAATACATCTAGATCCTAAAGCAGCAGAGGCCAGTCCCTTTGTCTTTACTCACTCAGAAGAAAAGAAAACAAACCCCATCACATAGCTGTGCTGGTACCTTCTGCCACGTGAAAGTGAGATTTCAGAAAATCAGGATGGCTGTATAGCCTCACAGGACACAAAATCAGTAACTTCTCTACACCTGCTGCCAAAATACAAAGACAGTAAACAAAACTTTCACCCATTCTTCCATTAATTCAAGTTTCACGGCTACTGAGCCACACGGCGTAGAGTCTCACCAATCTCTATTGCATCCCTAAACGCTACTGCCACAGAAATATGCTGCAAGTACACACCTCCTCAGGTACTCTGTCCTCCTCTAGGAGATGCCAAAAGGCAAACCCAAAGGAAGTGTTGAGCACAGACAGCATGGAGCACTGGCCACAGAGGAAACCCTGAAAAGGCAGATCTGCAGCCTCTTCAGGGCTGAATCACAGAATGCTATGGGGTTGGAAGGGACCTCTGGAGATCATCTAGTCCAACCCCCTGCCAAAGCAGGGCCACCCAGAGCAGGTTGCACAGGAACGTGTCCAGGTGGGGTCTGAGTGTCTCCAGAGAAGGAGACTCCACCACCTCCCCGGGCAGCCTCTTCCAGGGCTCTGCCACCCTCAC